CTTTGCCAACACCACAATTCAAGGGCGTCAGTTCTTCTTTGGTCTTCCTTATTTATTGTCCAGCTTTAGCGTGCATATGATGCAATTGAAAATACCATGGCTTGAGTCAGGCCCACTTTAGTCTTCAAGGTGACATCTTTGCTTTCCAACACTTTAAAAAGGTCTTTCACAGCAGATTTTCCCAATGCAATGCGTCCTTTGTTTTCTTGACTGCTGCTTCCACGGGTGTTCATTGTGGGTAAAAGTAAAATGAAATCCTTGACAACTTCAATCTTTTCTCTGTTTATCATGATGTTGCTTACTGGTCTAGTTGTGAAGATTTTTGTTTTCTTTACATTGAGGTGTAATCCATACAGAAGGCTGTGGTCTTTGATCTTCATCAGTAAGTGCTTCAAGTCCTCTTCAATTTCAGCAAGCAAGGTTGTGTCATCTGCATAACACAGGTGGTTAATGAGTCTTCCTCCAATCCTGATGTCCCGTTCTTCATACAGTCCAGCTTCTCAGAGTATTTGCTCAGCATACAGGTTGAGTAAGTATAGTGGAAGGATACAACTCTGACACACACCTTTCCTGACTTTAAGCCACGCAGTATCCCCTTGTTCTGTTTGAACAGCTGCCTCTTGATCTACGTATAGGTTCATCATGAGCACAATTAAGTGTTCTGGAATTCCCATTCTTCACAATATTATCCATAATTTGTTATGATCCACACATTCGAATGCCTTTGCATAGTCAATAAAACACAGGTAAACATTTTTTCTGGTATTCTCTGCTTTCAGCCAGGATCCATCTGACATCGGCAATTATATCCCTCGTTCCACATCCTCTTCTGAATGCAGCCTGAATTTCTGGCAGTTCCTTGTTGATATACTGCTGCAGCCTCTTTTGAAGGATCTTCAGCAAAATTTTACTCGCGTGTGATATTAATGATATTGTTCGATAATTTCTGCATTCGGTTGGATCACCTTTGTTTGGAATAGGCATAAATATGGATCTCTTCTAGTCGGTTGGCCAGGTAGCTGTCTTCCAAATTTCTTGGCATAGACGAGTGAGCACTTCCAGCACTGCATCCGTTTGTTGAAACATCTCAATTGATATTCCATCAATTCTTGGAGCCTTGTTTTTCACCAGTGCCGTCAGTGCAGCTTGGACTTCTTCCTTTAGTACCATTAGTTTCTGATCATATGCTACCTCTTCAAATGGTTGAATGTTTTCTTTTTGGTACAGTGACTCTGTGTATTCCTTCCAACTTTTTTTGATGCTTCCTGTGTTGTTTAATATTTTCCCCATAGAATCCTTCACTGTTGCAACTTGAGGCTTGAATTTTTTCTTCAGTTCTTTCTGCTTGAGAAATGCCAAGCGTGTTCTTCTTCCCTTTTGGTTTTCTATCTCCAGCTCTTTGCACATGTCATTATAATATTTAACTTTGTCTTCTCGAGCTGCCCTTTGAAATCTTCCTATCAGATCTTTTACTTCATCATTTCTTTCTTTTGCTGTAGCTACTCGATGTTCAAGAGCAAGTTTCAGAGTCTCTTCTGACATCCATTTTGGTCTTTTCTTTCTCTCTTGTCTTTTTAATGACCTCTTGCTTTCTTCATGTGTGATGTCCTTGATGTCATTCCACAACTTGTCTGGTGTTCGGTCATTAGTGTTCAACATGTCAAATCTATTCTTGAGATGATCTCTAAATTCAAGTGGAATATACTCAAGGTCATGGACTTTTTCTAATTTTCTTCAGTCTCTACTTGAACTTCCATATGAGCAATTGATGGTCTGTTCTGCAGTCGGCCTCTGGCCTTGTTCTGACTGATGATATTGAGCTTTTCCATGGTCTCTTTCCATAGATGTAGTCAGTTTGATTACTGTGTATTCCATCCAATGAGGTCCATGTGTATAGTCACCATTTATGTTGGTGAAAAGAAGTATTTGCAATGAAAAAGTTGTTGGTCTTGCAAAATTCAGTCATGCAATCTCTGACATCATTTGTATCACCAAGGCCATATTTTCCAACTACCGATCCTTCTTCTTTGTTTACAACTTTCACATTCCAATCACCAGTAATTATCAATGCATCCTGATTGCAAGTTCAATCAATTTCAGACTGAAGAAGTTGATAAAAATCTTCAATTTCTTCATCTTTGGACTTAGTGGTTGGTGCGTAAATTTGAATAATAGTCGTATTAACTGGTCTTCCTTGTAGGTGTATGGATATTATCCTATCACTGACAGAGTTGTACTTCAGGATAGATCTTGAAATGTTCTTTTTGACAATGAATGCAATGTCATTCCTCTTCAAGTTGTCATTCTCTGCATAGTAGACCATACGATTTCCGATTCAAAATGGCCAATAGCAGTCCATTTCAGCTCCGAATGTCTAGGATATCGATATTTAAGCGTTTCATTTCATTTTTGAAGATTTCCAATTTTCCTAGATTCATACTTTGTACATTCCATGTTCCAATTGTTAATGGATGTTTGCAGCTGTTTCTTCTCATTTTGAATTGTGTCACATCAGCAAATGAAGGCCCTGAAAGCTTAACTACACCCATGTCATTAAGTTCGACTCTACTTTGAGGAGGCAGCTCTTCCCAAGTCATATTTTGAGTGCCTTCCAACCTGAGGGGCTCATCTTCCAGCACTGTATCAGACAATATTCCACTGCTATTCATAAGGTTTTCACTGGCTAATTCTTTTCAGAAGTAGCCTGTCAGGTCCTTCTTCCTAGTCTGTCTTAGTCTAGAAGCTTAGCTGAAACCTGTCCACCATGGGTGACCCTGCTGGTATCTGAATACTGGTGGCATAGCTTCCAGCATCACAGCAACACGCAAGCCCCCACAGTATGGGAAACGGACAGACACTTGGGGGAGCCAAAGGTTAAACAGGCCCATAAAACAAAATGAGACTAAATGGGCACACCAGCCCAGGGGCAAGGACGAGAAGGCAAGAGGGAACAGGAAAGCTGGTAATGGGGAACCCAAGGTCAAAGAAGGGAAGAGTGTTGACATGTCGCAGGGTTGGCAACCAATGTGATAAAACAATGTGTGTATTAATTGTTTAATGAGAAAGTAATTTGCTCTGTAAACCTTCATCTAAACTACAATTTTAAAAAAAGATAATTTAAATCACTGTTGTATACATTAAATACTGTAGGGCCGCCACTAACTCCTGTGTGTCATCTCGTGGCCCCTAACATCTTTCACCTTCGACAGCCCCTATCACAATAAATCAGTTTTAATATGAACTTTCATCTAGCTTGAACATACCTAATAGACTAAATTGTTCAGATTTATCAAGATACAACATATCTCCTCACACCTCTTTGACTGTTAGTTTACTTACAGAAAAAATTTTTTTTAAAGATTGGCATAATTTAAAAAAGTGCTGTTAATTTTTAATTCAGTAGCCTAAATTATCTGAAATGCCCATAAATTAATTCTGAGTAATGTATTTCAGAATTTACTAAGCTACCGTATCCATAGCTTTCAAGGTTATATTTTTTTCCTAAAATAACCAAGAATAAAGGCTTTATTTTTTTCTATAAACCAACATAAATACAAGAGTATATATATATATATATGTGCACTGCTTATTGCAATATATGGAGCCCTGCTGGAGCAGTGGTTAAGCATTTGGCTGCTAACCCAATAGTCAGCAGTTTGAACCCACTAATAGCTCCCTGGAAATGCCACGGGGCAGTTCTACTCTGTCCTTTAGGGTCACTAGGAGTTGGAATTGACAGAACGGCAAAGGGTTTTGTTTTTCTTTAATGCAATATATAATGGAGATAATGATGATAAACAATTCACATGCAACACCAGGTATTTAAAATGGTAATTTTTAAGTAAACTGCTTTATTGAAATATGCATACAAAAAGTCCACAAATCATACACGCATTGTCTGATGAATTTTTTTAATTAATCCAACCGCGTAACCGCTACCCAGTTCAATAAATGGAACATAGTTGGAATTAAGTAATATTTAACTTTTTTTTTTAATTTTTATGTTTTTATTCTTCAAAATATACTAAAAAGGAATCAACATAAGCAATTATACACATTACCAACTACCAAAAATTTTAGGAATTTTCAGTAGTCAGAATATACTATATGTAAACATCTTGATTTTTTTTTTTTTGAGTATTGTTTTTACCATTAATTTTTCTGAAGTTTATTCTAATTAAAACACTTCTGTATGGTAAGGGTATGCTAGCCATTCAAATGTATGTTACTTTTGTAGAAACCTCCACTGTTTGTTTTATTAAATTTGTCAAATGATATAGAATGCCTTGTAGAAGAAGTCTTTCTGTTTCTAGGTAGATCCAGTATTAAACATGTCGCTTCTAAGCACTGCGTCCACTGTACTTGGGTGCAGCGAGATGTTTCCACATCACATGGTCAGAGGGAGGTAGATTAATAGGGAGTTCTAGCTGGAAATTTCTTCCCTGCTATTGTTCTCCCTCAGCAGTTGATGGCTAAGTTAATTCTCTTTAGTTTTGTCATGCTCTAAAGCACACATTACCAAGCAATGCTAAGCTTTATGAGGAAAAAAAGAAGCAATGGTGTCCATCAAAGTCTTAAAGTTGCATTTTAAACTTTGGCTTGACCCGATGTGCCGTTCAAAAAAGCTTCAAAAGATTATTTTTTTAAGAAAGGTTCAATATGTCCTGAGGCTATCGGTTTAGAGTTAAACTGGGTGAAGTAGAAATATTTTACTCATCAGCTTTGCAGTCACAGAGTTTGCCTCAGCTAGAACAAAACTGCTGAGGCATTTAGAGAAAATTAACCCCCCATCCTGGCAGCCAGATGTGACTGGTTTCTGATGAATGCACACGAGTGGGCTGAAAAATCAAGAGACTGTGAAATTCCTGTCAGGTCCGTACAGGGCAGAATGGGCTATTGACTGCTTTCTGTATTTCCCTCCATCATTCTTCTTGAACACTGCCATTAATTTCCTCTCCTACTCTGACTTGTGTTTTTTTCCTCCCTCCCTCTCCCTCTAGTTCTGTCAGCTGCAAAGAAAGATACACAAGGTATGGGAGACGCACTTCAAACTGGTGGCCCTCTCCAGCCAGATGAGGCTGGCCAAGTTCCAGACAGACTCTCAAGAGAGTATTCAGAAAATATTAGCTGTGCAGGTAGGTGATTGCAGGGAAGTAGGAAAGATCATTCTGATCTAGATTGAAAAGCAAATGATGGGTAGTGTGATGAAGCATTAAAACCACATCCCATCAGCGTTTTATAAATTTTTAACCTCTTTAATAAACTGGAATTGCATGAAGGATGAATTCAGTAAGTTAGCATATATACCATGCATACTCTGGGGGAAAAGGGAGATTCAACTTATTTCCAACAAACGTCAGAACAGATTTTTTATATATATAAATACGTTTGGTATAAATACATATTTTAAAATCTTCAGGCTTTGCAAGTGATGTCATTCAGCTGTTTAAGAGATATTGTCAATATTACCTTGTGCTACTTTTGTACAAAATCTACTACAGTGGAAATGACCTTCTTATATTTATTTTATTTAACTCTTTCTTTCCCTTCTTTTGCCAGAGGTTCATCCTCCTAAGCAGATTTAAATAAGAGTTTATTAGAAAAACAAGCAATTTGAGACTAGATTGCTGTTCCCAAATTGCAATGCATGTGAAATTTTGCTTTTTTTGTCTGTACAACCTTTAAGTGGATGCAATTGTTTTCACTTTAAGACTCTGATATATCTTAGAAGAACTTCACTAACTATATGAAGACTATTACTGGCTAATTAATTTTTTTCAAATTACTGTTTTATTATTCCAAATGCTACAATATGAATGAACGTGACCTCCCCCTGCAAAAAGAAAAAAGAAAATGCATACTACCCTGTTGTATTAAAATACATAATACATGTATCGACAGTTACACATGCTCTTTAAAACCACAATTTTCATGAACTTACAGCAAAACAATGAATGCCGAGCCTTAACAATTTAAACCTGTTTCTAAACATTTTAATTACACATGCACATTTATCACAATTAAAGAAAATGATTTTGCAAAGCCCTTCCAAAGCTATCTCAAATTTAATTCTCACTGGTGTCTATTTTTGGTAGTTTCTTTCTAAGGATAGTGAATATAGCTATAGATATAAATAGATACTGGTATAGACACAGATTAACTTTGTATACGGGTTCTGTTGATAATTATTGATCGTCTGTCAGTTTGTCGTACTGCGGTGGCTTGCATGTTGCCGTGGTGCTGGAAGCTATGCCACCGGTATTCAGATAACAGCAGGGTCACCCATGGAGGACAGGTTTCAGCTGAGCTTCCAGACTGAGACAAACTAGGAAGAAGGACCCGGCAGTCTGACTTCTGAAAAGAATTAGCCAGTGAAAACCTTATGAATAGCAGTGGAAGATTGTCTTTCATAGTGCCTGAAGATGAGCCCCTCAGGTTGGAAGGCACTCAAAATATGACAGAGGAAGAGCTACCTCCTCAAAGTAGACTTGACCTTAATGACGTGGATAGAGTCAAGCTTTTGGGACCTTCATGTGCTGATGTGGCATGACTCAAAATGAGAATAAACAGCTGCAAATATTAATAATAATCGGAAGATGGAATGTACGAAGTATGAATCTGGGAAAATTGGAAGCCATCAAAACTGAAATGGAACATATAAAGATTGATATCCTAGATATTAGTGAGCTGAAATGAACTGTCATTGGCCATTTTGAATCAGACAATCATATGATCTGCTATACTGGGAATGACAAATTGATGAGAAATAGCATCACATTCATCATCAAAAAGAACATTTCAAGATCTATCCTGAAGTCCAGTGCTGTAAGTGATAGGGTAATATCCACACGCCTACAAGGAAGACCAGTTAATACAACTGTTATTCAAATTTACACACCAACCACTAAGGGTAAAGATGGAGAAACTGAAGATTTTTACCAACTTCTGCAGTCTGAAATTGATTAAACATGCAATCAAGATGCATTGATAGTTACTGGTGATTGGAATGGGAAAGTTGGAAACAAAGAAGAAGGATCGGTAGTTGGAAAATATGGCCTTGTTAATAGAAATGATGCAGACACTGCATGATAGGGTTTTGCAAGATCAATGACTTCTTCATTGCAAAAACCTTTTTCAACAACATAAATGGTGACTATACATGTGGACCTCGCCAGATGGAATACACAGGAATCAAATCGACTGTGGAAAGAGACAATGGAGAAGCTCAATATCATCAGTCAGAACAAGGCTAGGGCCAACAGTGGAAAAGACCATCAGTTGCCTATATGCAAGTTCAAGTTGAAGCAGAAGAAAATTACAAGTCCACAAGAGCCAAAGTATGACCTTGAGTATATCCCACCTAAATTTAGAGTCCATCTCAAGAATAGATTTGACACATTGAACACTAATGACCGAAGACCAGACGAGTTGTGGAATGACATCAAGGACATCATACATGAAGCAAGAAAAAGGTCATTAAAAAAAGAGGAAAGAAATAAAAGGCCAAAATGGATGTCAGAAGAGACTCTGAAACTTGCTCTTGAATGGAGAGTAGTTAAAGCAAATTGAAGAAATGATGAACTAAAGAGCTTACCAGAAGATTTTAAAGGGCCACTTGAGAAGACAAAGTAAAGTTTTATAATGAAATGTGCAAAAATTTGAAGTTAGAAAACCACAAGGGAAGAATACACTCAGTATTTTGCAAGCTGAAAAAACTACAGAAAAAATTCAAGCAATATTGAAGGGTTCTGCAGGGAAAATATTAAACAACACAGAAAGCATCAAAAGAAGATGGAAGGAATACACAGAGTCACTGTACCAAAAAGAATTGGTCAACGTTCAACCATTTCAGGAGGTAGCATATGATCAAGAACTGATGGTACTGAAGGAAGAAGTCCAAGATGCACTGGACGCATTGGGGAAAAACAAGGCTCCAGGAATTGGTGGAATACCAACTGAGAAGTTTCAACAAATGGATGCAACAATGGAAGCAATCGCTTGTCTATGCCAAGAAATTTGGAAGACAGCTACCTGGCCAACCCACTGGAAGAGGTCCATATTTGTGCCCATTCCAAACAAAGGTGATCCAACAGAATGCAGAAATTATTGAACAATATCATTAATATTACTTGCAAGTAAAATTTTGCTGAAGATAATTCAGAAGCAGTTGCAGCAGTACAGTGACAAGGAACTGCCAGAGATTCAGGCTGGATTCAGAAGAACATGAAATGAGGGATATTGTTGCTGATGTTAGCTGGATCTTGGCTGAAAGCAGAGAATACCAGAAAGATGTTTACCTGTGTTTTATTGACTATGCAAAGGCATTCGACTGTGTGGATCATAACAAATTAT